CCACAAGTCATGTCAAATGGTGACGCTATATTCTTATCTGGAGAGCATGCGCAATAAATATCATCGGTGTAGACTAGAATAACCAGACGCTAAAGATTGCCATTCAATTGAGACTTCTGGCGTATTTCGCCGAACATAACTGATTAGAAATTACAGTAAAAACAGAAACGGTTGAATGTAAATCAGTTTATATACATTCACATTACATTATTATATGCGTTGCGACCCATTTGTGTCATTTTCTAGGTCCCAAATATTAGCGATTTAGCTCCTTTAAACTCCTACTGTTCTTCTTCGACTGGGCTAATAAAGACTGGGGTATACGCCATACAGTGTGCTACGAGGGACATTTTGCACGGACACCAGCGCTACGGCATACTGTTATTTGGAATTCCAAGTTATAATGGTTCTTTTACGTGCACATCAGTGTGTACACAGGACCTCGGATTTTCGTTCGATTTCATATTCTCATTCTTCAGTAATTAGTGAGAAACACGTGGTCCCATGGGGCGCAGACCACCATTAAATTTCACCATCTAGGCTTTTGTATGCCCATTTTTGTTGATTTTATAGTCTAAAATGGACGAAAGGGGTTTGAATTAACATTTTCTGCCAGGTTTTGGTAAATATTCATGATTTAGAGGCGGAGGGGAGGGGGTGGGATAACATAGTTATCAGATTGGTTATGCATGGTGATATGCTACTTCAAGTTTGGGCATCTCAAAGTTTTGGAAAGGAAATGAAATGGGGTTTACTGTCTTGCTGTACCGGTCCGTCTGAGCTAATCAAGCTGGTCAAACGTCATACAGTGTTCTATGAGGGAAAAAATTCCCCGAAAAGCGGCACTACGGCCTACTCTTACATCGAATTCCAACTGCCAAGGGACCTTTTACTTCCACGCCAATGTGTACACGGGACATTGGTTTTTCGTTCCATCCGAATAACGATACGTTGTCCCTTGCCACGCCCTCTGTCCAACACCACTGACCAGGGGGAACCACGCCGGAAAATCCCGATCGAACACGGGACCTACAGGTTAGCAAGCCAACGCCTTACCCACTGAGCCACAGTGGCTCCCTAAAAAAATTTGGTGAGCAACCTCATACATGACCATTGTTTCTCTGTCTGTAGTGAAAAGCATTTAGCTCAACGATAATTTTGGGAAAAGTTGGAGCCGGGCAAAGAAACAGAATTAACATTGAAGTCAATTGAGAAATTAATGGTGGTCTGTATCCATGTCATTTAAATGGAGTTATCACCCTGGACTCGTTCCACATTCCAAATAGTCGCTATCACCCCAAAAAATATTCTAGGAATATTAGTCTGGATGAGTTGTCAACATTTGAGAATAATAGGCCATTGGCTAGATTATCCGGTCTTTTACATTATCACAAACAAAGTATAAGGGAGGTAACTAGTCCTAAAACAAGATGTTGACACCCATGAAATTAATTCAAGAATGTCATTTCAAAAAATCCTTTTGATTGCATGCCAGTTCAATATCCAACACTCTTATTTTTTTTATTGTAAAATTTCTCTCTTCACGGGACGTATCTATGTTTGTTTTAAAATTAATCCTAATTCGTCGTCTCATTTACGTTTGTTCATATTAATGCAAGAATTATGGGATTTATTGCGGGAAGAGCCACAACTCTTAACTTGGTCAGAAGATACTGGATAATCAACCACTTTAAAAAAAACGAACTCCCGGTTACGCATGGGCAATGGACTTTTCGTCAAATATTGATAACGGTCCCAGACCCTCCGTACGTTGAAGACTAGGAGGTTCTGGGTGACCCGAGACTATATTCCAAATATAACACGTTGCCTTTGATAAAAATACAATTTAATACAAAGCTATGGATTTGAGGTGTTTTGTTTTAATTTATTTAGGTTAAGCCTACTAACTTATACAAATTGATATTAAAAGCTTCGATTTTCTAACTGTAAAAAAACACTAATAGTAAGTGCAGGGGGGCTGCACCACACATAACTTACACAAAAACAAATATACGGACAAGACATGTTACGCAGAACTCACAAACAAACGCTGTACAGTCCCGGGTCTGTAATGACACGCTTTTAATCAGGCGGCAAAAGCTTTGGCACCCATCGTGCTGAAACCTTTGTCATTTCCAAAATTTCAGTGATAATAGAATGAACTCTCGTCTGATCAAAAACGTTCAAGACACATCATTTCAGAAGAGAATCTAGCCTTATTTGAAACCGATCCTGACCGCTTCCTAAAACAAATTGTTACTATGGATGAAACTTGGGTCCACCACTTTCAGCCAGAAACAAAAGAGCAGTCAAAACAGTGGAAACATGTGACGTCGCCCACCCCAAAGAAGGCAAAGACTGTTTCATCGGCAGGAAAGGTGATGGCCTCAGTATTCTGGGATTCTGAGGGTGTTCTCATGTTGGATTACCCCCAAAAGGGTCAAACAATTAACGGTAGATACTATGCAGCACTTATAAGGCAGTTGAGGCAAGAAAATAAAACCAAAAGACGAGGAAAGTTGACCAAAGGTGTGATTTTCCACCAGGACAATGCGCCAGTGCACATATCAGCTGTTGCCATGTCAGCAATCCATGACTGTGGTTTTCAAATTCTTCAGCATCCACCCTTATACTCTCCTGATTTAGCTCCCTCAGACTTCTATGTTTCCTGCTCTGAAGAAATGTCTTTCCGGTAGGCATTTCCCGTCTGACGATGACGTCATTGCCACAGTATATGATTTTCTACACACCCAAGACAAAGACTTCTACAGAACTGGGAGAAGGCTCTGCAACACCGATGGCGGAAGTGTATTACATTGAAGGGGGACTATGTTGAAAAATAAGTGCATTTGATTTGAATTTCTTGTTTCTTCACTACTTATCAATCACCCCTCGTACAATACCCATGATTTCTCTTCATTTTTATGCCCAATTTATCTCTAGCAAAGCGAATACAAAAGCTCGTAAATCACACAGTCCGAAATCTTAAAAATGAACAAACTTCAGCTTACATTTGACAGAACATCTAGTAGGGGTTATTTTCAAATGTACAAAAAAAGATTCGCCAAGTATCTGATAAGTTACGAAGTTATTTGTTCCTCCTGTAAAATTTTGTTGATCGGACTAACGAGGTTTCAGAATGACACCGACGATATATTTCGTTCCTGTACTGGAAATTTGATCTACTTATATCCTGTAGTGTGATCAAGACTATACAGGCTATTTAAATTCACTCGGACACAAGATCAGACGCCGTTTGTGTCATACCTTGACTTCACAACGAGACTCCATGAGCGTTTTGCAAAGGGAGTTCTGGATTGGTATACATGTACATGTAATTGCAAAAGCTTATTGCTGCTGGTGGGCGTATGTTACATTGCCTGGCAAACTATCTTTTATGTTGTTAACATTTACACAATATCTAGTCTAACAACGCCAAAAAAAAAGCTGTTGGATTTCTTATCAATTTGGGGGTGGGTGGAGGCTAAATCATACCCTAAATCATGCACCACTGTCTGTTGGAATATAAACATTGACATTTATTGTCTGCTAGTCAACACTCGTGTGTGGGTGCATCACTTCACATGTGCACTGATGTTGTAATCTGTACATGCAATGCGGTACACGTTGCTGTCATATGTATCACTCCTCTGGTACATGACGGAGGGCCTGACAAGAACAGTTGGGCTAATGAAGACGGGCATATGCCACATAGTGTGCTATGAGGGAAATTTTGCCCAGACAGCAGCACTATAGAATTCCAACTGCCAAGGGGTCTTTTATGTTCATGCCAATGTATACACAGGACCTCTGTTTTTCATATCATCTGAACGACTAGATAGCTGTCCTTGTCAGGGTCTCCGTCCTGCACCACTGACAATGGTGTTAAACGTTCGCTTCCACCGAGGGTGATATCGCACATGTTGCCTTTCCTTTGGGAGGAAACTGGAGTACCCTGAGTATACCCAAAAGGTTGAGAAGGCGCCCAAGCCATATACGTTTTGGCCAGGGATCAAAACTGCAACCACAAGCCTGAGGTGACCAGCCAGCTAGAGCTCAAAGCACAAAACTGTAGACCACTAGGCCACTCCCACCCCTCATGCCACAGACACTGAAAGGCACAAATTAATTACTTTAAAATAGAAAAGCAGAAATCCCAAGAAATTTTTCTGCCAATGATGGGAGCGAACCACAAGATCCATAACACTTATGGATCCCTGCTGCAGTATTAACAGTATAAAGAATCTTTGTAACTTTAGCTAATTCAATAGGCTCCTATCAGTATTTCCAGTTGTATAGTTTGCTAGCTGGTCAATTTACATCCTTGGTATCCCCAGTGGTATCATTCTCCACTAACCCGTGGATCCATTCACAGACTAAGACTAGTAATTATTTCCCTTTATTTCATGATGGACAGTTTTCCCCTTAATATTTTCCTGCTCTTTTCCTGCATTTTTTGGTTGACTTTTTGGCCTAGAATTGGAGAAGAGGGATCAAATTTGCAATTTCATAACAGTTTTTGGTTATTATAGTGGGGGGGGGGGGCGGGGGTGTAAAGTGTCTTTGTATAGAGCAATCATTACGTCAGAGGTGACATTTTGACCCCAGGCAACATTTAAAAATCCTCCTAGCAAAAAATCTAAACGATCAACCCCCTACAAAATTATGATGAGGAGAGTGCCATATGCAGTCCCCTGTGTGTCTTTAAAGATTCAAACCAACGGAATGTTGAGCAAACAGCTACAGCCTGTGATGTTACAGCCATTGAGCATTGAAGTCAATGGGCAAGTTATCTGCCCTTGATGATTGTGCTAATTTTATCGAGCAATCAAAAACTTGTTATTTTGTTGAGGACAGATAATTTGAATTTGTGTCTACCCTTGATAATGGACCCAGGGGTTAGTGGAGTAGAACAGAATGATTTCATCGGGGATACCGAGGGTGGTCAAATTTTGTTGAGTAAGATATTTTTGCTAAAGAGTTTGACAAAATTTGAAGCATGCCATTATCCCAATTTTATTTTTGGATTCATTTGTGACATTTTTACACATAAACTCTTTAAAAGGAACTGTACTGATTGTGATTTATGGTTAAATTTATGTCATGTACATTGATTAACTGACAGGTGTCACTGTCAGGTGTCAGTCAGTCGAAACTGGTACATATAACTGCAAAAAGAGCCATTCTTCCATATCAGTCCATTTGGTGTATTCTAATATATGACTTTGCATCTTTCCTTCTGCGGCCCTGGTTCTGACCCCAGGGTATGAAAATTTGAAACGCTGGATGGAAGGGACATCATAAACCCGACGGGCTAATTTTATAAGCCAGATTGCATCGTTATCTTCTTTTTATTTTTGTTAATTAAATTTTTCACGCAGCTCTTTACTTGAACCCAGGTCCTGTTTTTGAAAAGAGATCCGCCTTTTTTCAGAGCGTCTTCACATCTGGCCTTTCCCACACCAGAAACATTCATGTCCGAGATATTAGAACGGAAATAATCTCTCACAAAATTCTTCTCTTTATCTCCCCATTTCACATGGAAACACAGCTTTCCTGAAATAAAACATATATTCTGTCTTGATATTAATTTATAAATACATGTACAAACCATGTCCAGTCTTAAATATGATGTTAAACCATACTATGTCAAAGATGGGTTATGTAAGTAAGAGCTAAATCTATCTATTGCAGGTCTTTATTTTGACTTCAAATGTTATGTAAACAAATTATTTAAACATTTATTAACATGACAAGCCTATAGTCAACTCTCTAAGTCATCGGATGGCTCTGATTAGAAGGATATGGTTATTCAATGATTTAATTTAAAAATCGGCAAGCAAGGATAAGTCCAAGTAACAAGTACCATTGTTACAATATTAAACAATCAATTCCACATGTCAAAACTCCAAACAGTGATAACTTCTTCAGAATATAGTAATTTGAATGCAATTTTCAAAATATTCATTTTGCATTATCTATTTTTGAAATGAAATGAAATGAAATGGAGTTTAACGTCCTACTGTTCTGCTCCTAACCTGGGCTAATGAAGACGGGCATACGCCATACAGTGTGCGATGAGGGAAATTTTTTTGCCCGGACAGCGGCACTACGGCCTACTCTTATATCGAATTCCAACTGCCAAGGGATCTTTTACGTGCACGCCAATGTGTACACGGGACCTCGGTTTTTCGTCCCATCCGAACGACTAGACAGCTTTCCTTGTCAGCCCCTCCGTCCTGCATCACTGACAAGGGAGAACCACGCCGGAAAATCTGGATGAACTTTCTCGGCCAATGCAGGGATCGAACACCCGACCTCCAGGCTAGCGAGCTAGCGTCTTACCCACTTAGCCACGTGATCCCCTATCTATTTTTGAACTATTGCACATGTAGCAAGAACGGCCAGCTCTGTATTTAAATCTTGCATCTTAAAAATCATGGTCATCTACAAACTTGTTGAATCTTATAATGCAACAAGCCCAGTCTTTGGTCAAACCTTATATACCAGCAATGTGGAGGCTTATAGAGAGAGAGAGAGAGAGAGAGAGAGAGAGAGGGGGAGAGAGAGAGAGAAATGGGGCTTAACATCCACTCAACACAAACTAGGTCATTTCGGGACGAACATATAGTCAATTTTATTTCAACAATTTGCTTGCGTGTAGGGGTCTTTAGCAGTGGGAGGAAACCGGAGGACCTAGAGTAAACCCACGAGGTTAGACAGGCGACTCTACTCCTTGCCACGTACAACCGGGGATTGACACCACGCCAGCTGACTCAATGACAAACCTTATGATACAGCGCACACATGCTAACCATTCGGCCATCCAACCCCCCATGGAGGTTTATAAGATGCAGAAAGTTTTTACATGACCATAATATAGCCTAGTATGTTTTACACTGTGGCATGGGTATCATTTAATCTTGTGTATCCAGCATTAATTTCTTTTACATTTGGTTAATTTGTAATTTGTAACGTTTGAAAACTCAAATTCTTAAATTGGTTGGCTACTAAAATAAAGTCTGTTTATAATAAGAGATAATGCTAGGTTCCCACTAAGTTCCCACTTTCTCACTGGCATACACTTAATGTAAGAGATGTGATCTGTTTTTACAACAAATTCAATTCATTTTTACAAGAGAAGTGATTTGTTTTGTCAAGAGATGTGTTTCGTTTTTACCATTTCTCTTTACAGCTCGTCTTTTATCCGTTACCCCAGCTTCCACAGTACTGGTTCTATTAACAGCAGTTGATAAGACATCATCATCACCATCATCAATATAAGAATCAGCATGTGTCTTGTCTTCTGTTGAACCAGATTCACCAATCCAATCTTGTATATCACCTGAAAAATAGACAACACATAATAGAAAAAAAAGAAATGGGGCTAACATCCAATCTAAACAAACTAGGTCATTTTGGGACTAAAATATGCTTCAATTTTATTTCAATAATTCACTTGTTTGTAGGAGACTTTAGCAGTGTGAGAAGACTGGAGGATCCGGAAAAATTCGCTTGTGGAAGGCGACCGTGGATGAGGTTGACAGCATGCTACCCTACTCCTTGTCACGTAACAGCTTGGAATTGAAAACATATGATCTAAAGCATATGTGTTAGACCACTGCCCCCCACCCCCTCTCTTCCATTGTCATATTGAAGTTCTTGCTTGCATCAGTCCTCTATTTGTGAGTAAAACAAGTTCTCTAATTGTTGGGGAGGTAAACATGTCCTCTAATTGTTGGGGAGTAATTGGGTTGGGTTAGGGTTAGACTCAATGCCAGACCTTATGATCTAAAGCGTATGTGTTAGACCCTCTTCCATTGTCATATTGAAGTTCTTGCTTGCAACAGTCCTCTAATTGTGAGTAAACAAGTCCTCTAATTGTTGGTGAGGTAAACAAGTCCTCTTTTTGTTGGTGGGGTAAACAAGTCCTCTAATTGTAGGTGAGTAAGCAAGTCCTCTAATTGTTGGCGATTAAACATGTCTAGCGATAAGGCACCTGCCACAGCTTTGCCAGTTCTGCACCATCTAGGCTAATTAAGATGTTAATCTTTCTGGTACCTGCATTTTTGTCTTTTATCGATATTTTTTAACACAGACTTTAAAATGTCAGCTGCTACTTCAATTGTGCCTTTCATTTTGTCAACTAAAACCATTACTTCCAGGAATCTTGATACAGTTTTCACTGCTTGTACGTGACAAGGAGTAGGTCATTTGCCCGTTTTCTCCCACTGCTAAAAAAACCTACACACAAGCGAATTGTGGAAATAAAATTGAACCATATGCTAGTCCCTAAATGATCTAGTTTATGTTGAGTGGACCTTAAACCCCATTTCTCTTTTGATACAGTAAAATACTTAGAGAGAGAGAGAGAATGAGAGATGGGGTTTAACATCCACTCGGCACAAACCAGGTCGTTCCGGGAACAACAAATGGTTCAAATTTTTATTTCAACAATTTGCCCATGCGTAGGGGTCCTTTAGCAGTGGAAGGAAACTGGAGAAAACCCACGAGGTTGGACAGTCGACCTTACGCCTTGTCATGTACATCCGGGAAATCAAAACCCCACCAGTTGACTCAATGAATGACAGACCTTATGATACAGCGCACACATGCTAACCATTCGGCCATCCAACCCCCCAAATACTAACAGACATTTGTGTCAAATTATTCATTAATATACTAACCATCAACATCTATCTCATCCAGATTTTTCCCAGTAAACTTATGGATCTTTCCAGTATCAACAGCATAAAGAATTTTGGCAACTTTGGCCAACTCTACGTCGTCCTGCCTCAGCTTATCAAACTTCTGTTGGACACTTCTATCACATCCCAAGTACACTGCCAACCAGTCCATTTCGTTTTCATTCATGATTAAAATCTGAGAGACTTTTGCAGTAAACCTTCGTAATAATGTACTCTTTATAGTTTCTGGTGCCTTCAAGTCAGCTGTATCTACTGTTGAAGATAAGGCATCATGTCCATTAATGTTATCGGTGCTGTTTTCAGATATCGGAAATACAAAATTATTGTCTGGATTTATCTCCGCGTTTTTTCTATTATCGGCATCAACAAGTAAAACGATGGCGTTGACGGCATCTGGTGGTATTAAAATTGGAAGGCTACGTCCCCGTTTTCGATGAATGTGGACAAGACATAACCTGCAAATAAAAAATGAAATGAAATGGGGTTTAACGTCCTACTGTTCTGCTCCGATTGAGCACATGAAAACGGGCTTACACCATACAGTGTGCTATGAGGTAAATTTTGCCCGGAGCGTGGCACTACGACCTACTCTTATTTCAAATTCCAACTATCAAGGGTTCTTTTTATGTGCAAGCTGATGCGTACACAGGACCTTTTTATCATATCATTCGAATGACTATACCTTGACCTTTGCCAGAAAATCCAGATGAACATTCTCGATCAATATTGAACACAAAAACTCCAGGTTAGCAAGCCAACATCTTACTCACTGAGCCACCATGTCTTGGACCAGAAAAAGGTAACTGTGACAAGTTTTGTTTGTATTATATATACCGGTATTTCTGATTACAAAATGTCTCCAAAATAAACCATTTATTAATTCTGCATATGTAAGTTTCATGCTTAAAAAGGCCTTATATCACAGGGCTTTGTCTGTATCTTTTGAGATTTAAGGTAAAATTCTAATTTTACAGTCTAAAATCTTGTAGAATGTAGTGAACACACAGACAACTAAAGAAAGATGAAAGTGAGTAAATTCGAGGATGATATTAAAGACTATAGTATGAGGCCCTAGTCAATGACAGACAGATAAGGGGTCTTAGAAGATGTGTTATAGAACTCTTGTAATATTCAACTTCAAAAGTACAAAATCTTGAGGTAAAAATTTCATAAAAAAAGTCTGTAAACCTTTTTATAATAAATTAAATGGGACTACATGAACTTATACCAGATTTCTACGCCAGATAGTCCGACAGACTGGGGTATATAAGCAGCAAGCCGTGTGTCAGACAAAGAAAAACAGATTTTAAAGAGAACACAAAAGGTATTGTTTAGAGATTATTAGTTAGCACACATTCAAAACTGGGACTTCAGGTATTACATTATAACCATGAAAAACTTGCTTATTCTAAAAATTTAAAAAATGAAAAATTCTGACCGCTCTGTCAATTGTTTCTCTGTTGGCGACAGCAGATCACAGTTGGTACTTGTTGTATCAGGCCGACTGATGAAATCTGATATCAGCATTCTCGACACGTCCTCAGATCTTGTTGTATTGAACATGATTAAATGACTCAACGTAATTGATGCCAAATCTTTGAAATCATTCTTTGGGTTATATGTCTGGACAACTAAGTACATCATTTCGTGAACATATTTCTGTAACTTTACGATATCTTGTGTAATTGATAAAATTTCCATCTTGTTTTGTTTTTCTGTTGCTCTGGTTTTGCGAACAATAGATGATAACTTTTGAGAATATTCCTTGTCATACAGTCGCAAAAAATCTGTTACATCCTTCTCGGCACTTTTATCCTGGTCACGAATCGCAACACCTAAATAAATCTGCCCACACCTTTTCAGTAAATAGCCGATTCTTGAAACTAACGAAGGAATTCCGTGAAGTCCAGTGGACAACTCATGCACTGCTTCAATCACCTGATCGAACATACTAGGCTTCAAAATTTCTGTCATACACATTGTTCCATTTCTGTTATTTTGTCTTAAGGCATTGACCAATTTCGCTATTTCTCTTATCTTGACTTGGACGTAAGCCAGACTTTCTTTACTGTTTTTTTTATAAAGTTCAACTCCAAGATGGCGGATTATTTTGTCCTGTTTGATTATCATTCCAATTTCATCATCTTTCATATCTAAGAACAAATCATCGCTCCAGTCAGAATTTTCACACACAGCGACAAGTGTCTTGCCAACACGCAATGCACCACCCTTGTGATCCAAAGAGTTATCCTTTGATTCACAGACTTTAGAGTGCCGCCATAATAAAGAGGCAACAAAAAATCCTTTACAATGAACACAGGGGGCATAGTCAGAGACAGCGGAAACTTGTCTCCTCTTGGGGCGTTTTGCTACCAGTAATTCCCCTTTTCCATTTTCTAATACTCCAATGTTGTGTTGATAATTTCCAAGGTGTTTTAGTTTTTTAGCTTCTTCAAGTCGCTTGCTTGAGCCTTTCGGAAAGCTTAACAATTTCTGAACTTCTATTTCTTTGCTATGCTTTCTTGTCAAATGTCTGACAAACTTGGCTTGCTGCTTTCCACAGAATAAACAGCAATTCTTCCTGTTCCATTTTCTACCTTCCTTATTGTTTAACGAAGTCGACACAAAAGATTTTTCTGAAAATATAATAATCATTTGGTTTGTTTATTTTGAATATAAACATTTACGAAATAAAATAATATCTTTAACCTATTTCAATCTTTTTTTTTACTTTGAACAAATTTTGTTGTCACGGTTCACATTACTGACATGAAATGAAATGGGGTTTAACACCCTATCTCTTCTGCTCCTACTAGGCTATGAAGATGGACATATGCCATGTATTGTGGTATTTCAAATTTCAATTATCAACGGTTCTTTTACACATACACGAGACCTGGGGTTTTTTTTTCGTCCAATCCAAACAACTATAAATTGTCCCTTCCAGGCCCTCCATCCTGCATCACTGACAAGGGGGAATAACTCACATTACTGAATTTATACAAGTTCATGAACACACTCTAGCCCCAATTAAATTAGTGTACAAGACATGTCATTTGTTTTTACAAGATTTGTTTTTACAAGAAATGTGAGATTTGTTTTTACAAGAGATGGGAGATGAGATTTGTTTTTACAAGAGATGAGATTTGTTTTTACAAGAGATGTGAGATGGGATTTGTTTTTACAAGAAATGGGATTTGCTTTTAAAAGAGGGGAGATTTGTTTTTACAAGCGATGGGATTTGTTTTTACAAAAGATGTAATTCATTCTTACAAGATTTGTAATTTCTTTAAGGAATGGAATTTGTTTTGTCAAGAGATAGAATTCGATTGTTTATACAAGAGATGCAATTGTTTTTACAAGAGATGCAATTGTTTTTACAAGAGATTCAATTGTTTTTACCATTTTTCGGGACAGCTTGTCTCTTAGCTCTTTTATTAGTTACCCCTGCTTCCATAGTAATGGTTCTTTTACCAACAACTTTATCATCATTATCAGCATCATCATCATTATCATCACCATCATCATTATCATCATCACCACCATCATCATGGCCACCACCACCATCACCCTCACCAGATTCAGCAACTGTCTTGTCTTCTGTTTCACCAGATTCACCAATCAAATCTTGTATATCACCTGCAAAACAAACATCACATGATACAGAGATAGAAATGGGGTTTACCATCCACTAGAAACACAACCTTGATATACCATATATTTACATTATTTGCGTACGAGGGGCGGCCATTTTGTCCAGCGGGTTTTGGTTCAATTTTTACAAAATTCAAACGTTTTTTTTTAAATCAGATAAAAATTGTGACCTCTAGAGAAACCACAAGCTAAAAACACGATTTTGCATACAATGAAGTGCCATAATTCAGGAAGTTACGATCTTATACATGCCAAAATTGAAAAAAAAACAAGATTGTTTGGAGATAACCCTAATATTGCAAGTTTCGTCAAAATCGGATAAGAATTATGGACGGACAGACAGAGGCGATGACAATATATACGTCCACATGAAAATGTGGGCGTATAAAAACAAGTAAAATATAATCGTATATGAAGTAAAATACTGACATTTGTGTCAAATTATTGAATGATATACTAACCATCAATATCTATCTCATCCAGATTTTTTCCTGATAACTTATGGATCTTTCCAGTATCTACAGCATACAGAAGCTTGGCAACTTTGGCCAACTCTACGTCGTAGTGCCTCAGCCTATCAAACTTCTGTTGGATACTTCTATCACATCCCAAGTACACTACCAACCAGTCCATTTCATTTTCATTCATGATTAAAATCTGAGAGACTTTTGCAATAAACCTTCGTAATAATGTATTCTTTATAGTTTCTGGTGCCTTCAAGTCAGCTGTATCTACTGTTGAAGATAAGGCATCATGTCCATTAATGTTATCGGTGCTGTTTTCAGATATCGGAAATACAAAATTATTCTCTGGATTTATCTCAGCGTTTTTTCTATTATCGGCATCAACAAGTAAATTGATGGCTTTGACGGCATCTGGTGGTACTAAAACTGGAAGGCCTCGTCCCCGTTTTCTATGGATGTCGACAAGACATAACCTGCAAATAAAAAATGATAAATAATGGGGTTTAACATCCTACTGTTCTGCTCTGACTGGGCCGAGATGGGCTTACACCATACAGTGTACTATTAGTGAAATTTTGCCCGAACAACAGCACTACAACCTACTCTTACATGGAATTCCAACGTCTGGGGTTGTTTTATGTGTACTGGACTTTGGTTTTCCGACATATCCGAATGACTATGCAATGTATGTTGTCCCTTGCCAGGCCCTCATCTGCATCCTGCACCAATGTCAATGGGGGACCTTACCAGATTGAAAACACGAACTCCAGGTTAGCGAGCCAACATCTTAATTATTGGCTCTGAGCAGAGAAATAGGTTGCCAGGCAACAAAAACTACACACACAGTAACTAAGTTGTACTTTTGTCAATAATGAAAACATGTATATATACCACACACTAAAATCTGAGTATGAGAAACAACCCATTAAGTAATTTTCAAAGTGATCAAGGACCACAACTCTGGCAGTAATTATCAAAAATCATTGAAAATCAAAAGGCTTCTTCCTCCCATGACCTTTAGACACTGTATAATGTGAATTCAATTGGATATTAACTTCCACAACGACGGTGGTGGTGGGGGGGGGCTACAACAATTTACAACCACATTTAAGTGTTTTGTTTGCATTACAATATGTCCAATGAAATTCTGATGATAGTCTTCAAAATAAACCATTTTATTTATTTCTGCAGTTGTGTAAATTTTAAGCATAAAGAGGCCTTATAACAGGGCTTTCTCGTATCTTTTGAGTTTTTAAGGTAAAATTCTAATTTTACGGCACGTAAATTGACTAATTTAGGAAAATCTTGTAGAATGTAGTGAACACACAGAGAACTAGAGAAAGATGAAAGTGAGTAAATTCGAGGATGATATTAATTAAAGACTACAGTATGGGTAAGAAAGGGCTCCTAGATCATGAGGCCCTAGGCACTGACAGACAGACAAGGGATCTGAGAAGATATCTTATGGAACTCTTGTAATATTCAAAGTCAAAGTCCAAAATCTTGAGGTGAAAAATTTCATAAAAGAAGCCTGTAAACTTTGTTATAATAAAATAATTTATTTCATTTAATTTAAAACTGTAGCTTATACTCAATGGGATTCAAATGGAAAAAAAAAGCCCATCCTCACTTATACCAGATTTCTACGCCAGATAGTACGGCAGACTGGGGTATATAAGCAGCAAGGACCGTGTGTCGGACAAAGAAAAACAGATTTTAAAGAGAACACAAAAGGTATTGTTTAGAGATTATTAGTTAGCGGACATTCCAAAGTGAGACTTCGGGCATTTTTACATTATAACCATGAACAACTTGCTTATTCTAAAATTTTAAAAAATGAAAAAATTCTGACCTCTCTGTCAATTTTTTCTCTGTTGGCGACATCAGATCACAGTTGGTACTTGTTGTATCAGGCCGACTGATGAAATCTGATATCAGCATTCTCGACACGTCCTCAGATCTTGTTGTATTGAACATGATTAAATGACTCAATGTAATTGTTGCCAAATCTTTGAAATCATTCTTTGGGTTATATGTCTGGATGACTAAGTACATCATTTCGTGAACATATTTCTGTAACTTTATGATATCTTGTGTAATTGATAAAATTTCCATCTTGTTTTGTTTTTCTGTTGCTCTGGTTTTGCAAACAATAGATGATAACTTTTGAGAATATTCCTTGTCATACAGTTGCAAAAAATCTGTTACATCCTTCTCAACACTTTTATCCTGGTCACAAATGGCAACACCTAAATAAATCTGTCCACACTTTTTCAATAAATAACCTATTCTTGAAACTAACGAAGGAATTCCATGAAGTCCAGTGGACAACTCATGCACTACTTCAATTACTTGATCGAACATACTGGGCTTCAAAATGTCCTTCATACACATAATTCTATTTCTGTTATTTTGTCTTAAGGCGTGGACCAATTTCGCTATTTCTCTTATATTGACTTGGACGTAGGCCAGACTTTCTTTACCATTTTTTTTATAAAGTTCAACTCCAAGATGGCGGATTATTTTGTCCTGTTTGATTATCATTCCAATTTCATCATCTTTCATATCTAAGAACAAATCATCGCTCCAGTCAGAATTTTCACACACAGCGACAAGTGTCTTGCCAACACGCAATGCACCACCCTTGTGATCCAAAGAGTTATCCTTTGATTCACAGACTTTAGAGTGCCGCCATAATAAAGAGGCAACAAAAAATCCTTTACAATGAACACAGGGGGCATAGTCGGAGACAGCGGAAACTTGTCTCCTCTTGGGGCGTTTTGCTACCAGTAATTCCCCTTTTCCATTTTCTAATACTCCAATGTTGTGTTGATAATTTCCAAGGTGTTTTAGTTTTTTAGCTTCTTCAAGTCGCTTGCTTGAGCCTTTCGGAAAGCTTAACAATTTCTGAACTTCTATTTCTTTGCTATGCTTTCTTGTCAGATGTCTGACAAACTTGGCTTGCTGCTTTCCACAGAATAAACAGCAATTCTTCCTGTTCCATTTTCTACCTTCCTTATTGTTTAACGAAGTCGACACAAAAGATTTTTCTGAAAATATAATAATCATTTGGTTTGTTTATTTTGAATATAAACATTTACGAAATAAAATAATATCTTTAACCTATTTCAATCTTTTTTTTTTACTTTTTACAAATTTTGCTGTCACGGTTCACATTACTGAAATGAAATGAAATGGGGTTTAACATCCTACCCCTTCTGCTCCTATTGGGCTATGAAAACGGGCATATGCCATGTATTGTGGTATTTCAAATTCCAACTATCAAGGGTTCTTTTACGCATACACAAGACCTCAGGGTTTTTTTCGTCCAATCCAAACAACTATAAATTGTCCCTTCCAGGCCCTCCATCCTGCATCACTGACAAGGGGGAACAACTCACATTACTGAATTTATACAAGATCATGTACTCACTCTACTCCCAATTAAATTAAAGTACAAGACATGTCATTTGTTTTTACAAGATTTGTTTTTACAAGAAATGTGAGATTTGTTTTTACAAGAAAAGTGAGATTTGTTTTTACAAGAAATGTGAGATTTGTTTTTACAAGAGATGGGCTTTGTTTTTACAAGAGATGTGAGATGAGATTTGTTTTTACAAGAGATGGTATTTGTTTTTACAAGAGATGAGATTTGTTTTTACAAGAGATGGGATTTGTTTTTACAAGAGATGAGATTTGTTTCTACAAGTATTTAAGAAATTAAATACTTGTAAATTGGACACTCATTATCAAAATTGAATGGTCAGCTTTAAACTGGACAAAAGTACAAATTAAACGTTTTATGGTGATTTTAATCAGTTTTTACAAAGATTTGATATTAAACGAATGTGAAAGAAATTAGTGCTAGATACACAAGATTAAACAATACCTGGGTTACAGTGTAATGAGTCAAGTAACGCGGTTACAATTCCCCGCTTGCAAGTGACAAGGAGTAGGTACACTGTCCAACCTTGTGGGTTTTCTCAAGTATGTTTTGTAGTTATACTAATAATTCTGAAGTTGGCATAAAATTAAACATTGGCGAAAACACCCGAGGTCTTCAACCTTAGAAAAGAAGAGTGTATTGGTTAAATTTTGATCTAAACAAAAATACCCAAAACCTAAACGCCGAGGCTGAACAAGGAAGTTTGGGAATCAATTAACGATAAAAAAGAGAGTTATCTCCCTGTCTGTCAAATGTCTGCAATTGATAACAGTATTTCAGGTGAATGCTGATGCTGTATGAAGCATAAGAGCATGTGTGAGCACACAATCCCAAAATTTATATTGTTAATGGGGTCCCAGAAATTATGGGCTGGGTGGCTAGAGTCTGATATGCGAGGGGATATGTTTGACATTGGTTGAACAATAGGGTTATGGAGTAATGAAGATTAAAATTTGTCAGTAGCATTGTAAATCGCAGCTTACATTTTCATTTGCTGCTACTACTAGTAGAACGAGTTATATCGTTAATGGGGTCCCAGAAATTATGGGCTGGGTGGCTAGAGTCTGATGAGCCATGGGATGTTTGACATTCGTTGAGCAATATGGTTATGAAGTAAAAAAGACCAAAATTTGTCAGAAGCATTGCAAATCACAGCTTACCTTTTCGTTTGTTGCTAGTACTGGTAAAACGAGTTACTCGGGTATGACTTACAGCATCAGTCATCAAAACATCATCATCATCATCATCGGCATCCTCATCATCATCATCATCATCATCATCAACTAACATATTACAAGATTTCTTTACACCTGTATACCGTGAAAATTGTCTAAAATCACCCAATATCATCTAATATGTACGTGTGTCCAGTTTAAACATACATTATGCAAGAGCTAAATCTGCCTATTGCAGGTCTTTCTATAGGCCTGAAATGTTATCTAAATTATTAATAAGACATTAATTAACTTATCCAGGCCATAATCAACTCTCGATGGCATCGCTAGGTTCGATTTCCTGTTCGACTTCCATTCATAATTTAATCATGAAATGGATATGTTTTTTATCCTACCGACTTTAGTAATAATGATCGAGGCTAGGTCCAGAATTCAATCTCCAAAATCTTGGTTCAGAGTGGACCAATTTGACTGAATTTTTCAGCAAATTCCCTTTACATCATCTAGTTTTAAACTATTATAGTGAGAACTGCCAGCTCTTTATCTAATCACCCATAATGTATCTTTAAAGCTGACCGTCTAATTCTAATAACGAGCGTCCATTTTCCTGTTATCACAATAATTTATATCGATATTTGGTAATATATCATTCTTTATACAACAGTGTCATCTTTAATTTAAATTTTGTGTCAAAATGACAATCAAAATGTTATTTCCAAGCAAGCCATTTCGTGTAATCATGTCCCTTGGTTACAACTTCCAAAGAATCCAAACCTGTCTGGGAATCACCTTTTCAAGGGCAGATTTCAGCTTTACTCCAAGACAGTTTTTCTTATGCTGCATTACTTACATTTAGAGATTTTCTATTGTGGTGGCAGAGCAGAGGGCCTGGCACAGAACTTGACCACCCCAACAACCCTAACTAGGACTCCTTAAACCACTCAATCCACCCTAACTAGAACTCCTTAGACCATCCAAACTACCCTAACTAGAACTCCTTAGACCACCCAAACTACCCTAACTAGGAATCCTTTATACCACCCAAACTACCCTAACTAGGACTTCCTAGACCATCGGAGGATTGGATGACCAAATGGTTAGTGTGTGCGCGTTGTATCATAAGGTCTGTCATTGAGTCAACTGATGTGGTTATGATTCCCCAGTTGTACGTCACAAGGCGTAGGGTTGCCTGTCCAACCACTTGGATTTTTTCTGGTTTCCTCCCATTGCTAAAGACCCTTATGTGCAAGCGAATAATTGAAATAAAATCGAACCATATGTTAGGCCCAAAATGAACTAGTTTGTCCAGTGGACGTTAAACCCATTTCTCTTTCTCTCCTAACACAATAAATAAATTAAATTTTCTGATTTTCTGTGTTCATAGTTTTTGAACAAAATATCCTGCTAAAAGATAATATGTAAAACCAGTAGCTGCTAGGCAGGATACACCCACATTTTTCAAATTTGAATGAAGCCTGTGTCACTACAGACCCGGGAAAGTACAGCGCAGTGGACGCTTACGGCTAGCCCCCGGATCCATTCACTTTTGTTTGAATTGTCTGTCTGTTTGTGTTTTCCTGAGTATGATGTCTTGTCCGTGTATTTGTTTTTGTGTAAATTTTGTGTGGTGCAGTCTCCTTGCAGTTACTAATAGAGAACAAGCTAAAAACGCGATTTTTTGTACAATCAGGGGCAATAATCCAGAGAGTTATGGTCTGAAATGCGCAAATATCAAATGGGACGGAGATCTTTGGGATAAAGATATGATCAAAATCGGATAAAAATTGTGACCTCTAGAGGGTCCACAACCTTCGTATTACATACTTTTACACAATTTGTGTACAAATTGCCATTTTGTTGGGCAGTTTCATTTCAATTTTCAACCTTCATTATGGTGGAATGGTGATATATTTAAACGTTTTTCAAAATCAGAAAAAAAAATTCTAGAGAATCCGCAAGCTAAAAATGCGATTTTTGAACAATCAGGGCCCATAATCCAGGAAGTTATGTTCAGATATGCACGAATATTGAAAAGAACCCAGATCTTCGGGTTATCAAAATCGGGTGAAAATTGTGACCTCTAGAGTGTCCACAAGCTAAAAACGTGATATTTCATACAATCAGGGGCCATAATCCATGAAGTTATGGTCCGATACATGCCAATATCGAAAGGAACCGATATATTTGGGAGATAGACCTATATTTCAAATCTGACAAAAATTGTGACCTGTATAGAATGTCCACAAACAAATTGTGAACGGACGGACAAGGGCGACCAACAATACACGTCCACATGAAAATGTGGGCGTATTAAAAAAAGTCATGAACTGAAAGACTTAAACCTCATTTCGCGCTCTCTCTCTCTCTCCCTTAGACCACCCAAACTAGAGCTACTTAGACCACCCCAACAAGGACTCCTTAGTAGACCACCCTAACCAGGACTCCTTTCTTAGTAGACCACCCAAACCAGAGTAGACCACCCCAACCAGTACTCCTTAGAACACTCAAACCCCCCTAACTAGATCTCCTTATTTTAGACCATCCAAACCTCCCTGACTAAACTTCCTTATATTAGGCCACTCAAATCACCCTAACTAGGGTGTCCCCTGCGATATTACTTCGGTGAAAGTGGATGTTAAATAAAGCTATTTCACACACACACCCTAACTCTGACTGCTTAGACTACCCTAACTAGAGCTCTTTATACTAGATCACCCTAAATAGGACTACACAGACCACCCCAACCACCATAACCAGGACTTCTTAAACCACCCCAACCATCCTAACCAGGACTCCTTAGACCACCCCAAACATATCCAACAGTTGTGCAAAGAAAATAGTCCTTTAATGCGGAAACCTATTACAATTGAATTAGACCTGACTTTTCTGCGGTGGAAATGCAGACAGATACAGGTACATAGAAAGTGGACCTTGTTCTCTCTCTCCCCCTCCATTTATCATTCTTCTGATCCATCGTTAACGCTCCCCCATCCCCCGTTCTCTTAATGATCTGTTACGATCCTGAATAAGGTCAAAAAATTAAAAGATGTAAGTTTTAGGTTTTATTTTTATTGCGTCTTATTTTTTGTACATCGGCATTCATTTTATTTCTTATTTTGTCGTAGGTCATTTTTTTTAAAACTGGATTCCTGTTTTTGAGGGACATAATTTCTTCTTTCTTTAGCATTTTTCCGCTTAAGTGGACAAGTTTCAAAAAGACTTCATTGTATGCCTCTCGCTTTTCTTTGTTCCAAACATCTGAAATGGTAAAAAGAAATGACATGAAATGGGATTTAGCGTTGTACTGTTCTGGTCCAATTTGGCTAATTAAGATAGGCATCCACCATGTGCTATGGCTTTATTTTATTACAAACTTCAACTGCCAATGTGTACATGGGGACTCATTTTTGTCCCATCCAAACAAC